AAATAATTTATTCTTGTTGCTTCAACTTGAAAAAAAAAAAACAAAATCCTCAAATATATCAGTGTTTACTGCAACTCTAATCGTTTGTATTTTCATTTTCTGTGACAAAAAAAAAAAAAAATTGTCAAAGTGGCCACTCATTACTCATCTAATTGGTCACTCTTTACAAAAGCGCAGAAGGTAGAAGCGCAGATGGCAATTATTCACTACAAAAATACATTAAGGTCAAATGGAATAATGAACAAACAATGTTAGAAAGCTTTGATTGTTAGTAGTAGCAATCTAATGTCACCGTTCAACATTGTTTGCAAAGGCATGTGATATTTGCGCCATTCATATTCACAAAAAAAAAAATTCAAATCTACTACTACTTTCATATGTCTGCTGTATATCTATCATTCCGGATGGTTGACTGACATATCTGTCATTCCGGATGGCTGGTTGACAGACAGGGAACTATTCTTGACTTCTTGTCCTCAGCTTAACAAACAGCGCAGTATGTCGAGTTGGGTCATAAATTATGCTATTCCCTTATCTGTTGTGTGTGTGCGTGTGTTTGTGTCCGTCGACCCGTCCGTCCGTTCTTCCGTCCGTCCGTCCGTCTTTGTGTGTCCGTTTTTGTACGTTGTCTGTTTATATGTGTATGAATGTCACAAAACAAAACGTTTTGTTTTGAACCACAATCATTTTGTAGAGATTTTCCAATGTTTCCTGTTCATCGTACTTTACTGCCGGAGGGGTGGAATAGATCCATTCTTTCTCTTTGTTTACATATATCAATTAGTAAACAATAGTTGACAAAAAAAAAAGGTCAAGGAAGAGAGAAATATTAGCTGAAAGTTAGTCAAATTGTTTGAAATATATTTAGTTTATTTCAAAGCAATTTCAAAATTTGAATTAAAGTTTAATTTTTGTTCTTTTTTCTTTTACGCGATAGCTATTCAAATCAGATTCATTGGCTTACTCTAGCATAAGTGAGGATCGATATTTGGAGAAACGGTTTGACCTCTGTATAACCTATGACCTTCACCTGTTTACCCTCTTTTCTCCCCAATTTATATTGTTTTTGACACTGTCCATTTCAGTAGCAATTTATTCAAATAAGATTTACTGGCTTACCTAGCATATAAATGTAAGTGAATAAGCTTGAATCGATATTTGGAAAAATGGTTTGACCTCTCTATAACCTATGACCTTCCCTGTTTGTCCTCTTTTTTCCCCAATTAATATTGTTTTTGACACTGTCCATTTCAATAGCAATTTATTTTACTAAAAAGGATGTATATATTTAGTTAGTTTATTGTAATGGAATACATTGTGATAACCGGAATAATAACCGGAAGGAAAATTGTCTGCTCATTAAATTTTCCAATTATTGTTTTTATTTTTTTTCACTCTTTAAAATATTCTCATTTTTAACTTTCACATTCACTATTTCTTGTTTATTTCTAAACTTTCGCTTAATTTCGCAAACATTTTCAATTATCATAGATTTAGGTCTTACAAAATTCTGCAAATTATATATTATTTTAAAACTTTCTAAACATTCAATTGAAAATTTACACTCCTAGAAAAAACTAAAAATTCGTGTTTTTTTTTTTTTTTTTCGCACTAACAGATGGAAACAATGTTAAAATTTTATTGCGCTCTTTTTATTATGTTCCCATTATTACCAATAATTGAAGTTGGCTTCAATAAATTTCATAAAATCGGTTTAAAATTTGTTGAAAAATTTCCTGTGATATTTACAACATAAAATTTTAAAGTTTTTCGTTTTTTAATTTTTAAATGTCATTTTTCTTTTATCTAATTTTTGCACAATTCTGTGTTGCAACAAATTGAATCGATTTTTTTTAAAAAAAAAAAAAAGAAAAAATAGAAAATTTTTTGGACAATACCAATTGCTCAATTAGCAGATTAATTAAATAGAATTTTATTAAAATTTGTTTTGATAATTTTTTTTTTTGTTTTTTGATGAAACGACGGATGAATTTTTCTTTAATTATAATAATATTTTATAGGATTATTCACAATAAACAATAATTATTTGATGTAATAACAAGAATAAGGCTCTGATTAACTGCTATCAGCTTGTGACATTACCGCCATTCAACATTAAAATCTATCATTTACTTTCATTAAATATTTATTAAACTGGCACAACTGAATTCTTTTCCCACATTTTTTTTTTTTTTTTTTTGTTTAAAATTTTCTAATTTTCTTCGCGTTTTTTCTCCTTTTTTTTTTTTTTTTTTTTAAATAAAGCAAAATTTTAGTTTATGAGTCAGCCATCTCTCAAATTCTTTAATTCTCTCAACAAAATTATCTTCTCTCTAATACTAATTTTATATCTTTATTTATCAAAACTAATGTTTACTTCTACTACTTTTAGTAAATAGATGAAATACAATAATTCTTTCTTTCTATTTGATAAGAATTGATAAAAGCTAAATATGTTATCATTTCAGGAAGTAAACGGAATGATATTGTAAAGTTCTTTTCATTTTAAAAGGAAAATTCATTAAATTCATTTACCAAATACCATAATGTACACAATTGAAAAACTTTTTTTCTATTTATTTTGTTTATTTTTTTTTTTATTATTTATTGAGCAAAAAAAAAAAAAAAAAAGAAAAGAAAGAAAAGTGTAAATGAAATAATATCTGTTTTTTTGCTTTCGCATTCGTACTTAAATTAAGATTTGATAAAAGACGAGGAGAGGTAAAATTTTAGCATTCCTGTGAAATTTTACAAAAAATATTTCAATATGTTTTTTTTATTTTTGTTCACTTATTACTTTTTTTAAATTACTTTTCATCTTTTTTGTTCCTTTATGACAGTAAAAAATACAATGTTTTATTGAAAAAAATATTAAATCAAATATTTTAGTTAGAAATTTTTTTTGCAATTTAAATATTTGTACAATTATTTATTGCTAGTTCATATTTTATTTTATTTTTTTGTATTTTGTATTTTTTTTTTAAATTTTTAAACAATTTTGGTTATGAAATTAGCCTTAGCTATAAAATATCTTTTTTTTTTTTTTTTTTTTTTTAATTTAACTAATTCAATTTAAATATTTTTATATATTTGTTTACAATTGTTGCACTTATATCGCTTATAGCTTACAGCTTTACATATAACAAATTTTCTGATAGAATTTATAAAATATTTTTTATTTTGTAACTGTTTCATATTTATTTCTCATAAACCAAAGAACTCGTTCAAATTCTTTGTTTATGAGAAATGAATTTTTAACTGGTTTTGTTTTTCTTTTTTTTTGTTGTTGTTGTTGTTGTTAACAATTTGTTTGGTTCCATTTAACATTTGGATTAAGTTTCATTTTTAATAAGTTCAAATCTCTTTAAATTTAAATTATAAAATTGAAACAAGTCGTATTAAATTTTATATTGTAAAATGAAACAATCTTATTAAAATTCTAGCTTATAAAAATTGCTTATAGTGAATTGCTATATCTTTGATATTTCAATTAATCAACTTTTTTACAAACTTTTTGCAAATATTTGACTTTTGATTTATTTAAAATTTATAAATTCAAAATTTTTAAAATAAAAAAATTGCAAATATAAAATGTTACTAAATTTTTTTTTTTGCTAAAATTGTCATTAAAGTTTGATTAATTGTGAAAAAAAGAAAAAATAAAAAAAAAAAAAAGACAAAACTTTGTTCAATGATAAAAGTAAATATTCTTTAATGTTTGATTTGAATTTGAATGAGTCGAGTTATTGTGTTGATGTACTTTTTAATGATTTCTTAGTTTGAACGAATAAAATCGGTCATTTCTTTTTTTTTTTTGCAATATACTTTTTTTCGCTTAAAGAAGGTCAATAAAGGGAGAAAGAGAGAGAGAGAGAGAGAGAGAGAGAGAAAGAAAGAAAGTTTACCAAAACCATCGGATAAGTATTTATCAACAAATAGAGACATCAAATGTGAATTTCATTTTAAAATTTGCTGCAAAATTACTTCAATAATTTATTTGTCACAATTTCTATTTCATTTCTAATTTGACAATAGTAATTTATAATATTAATTTAATAACAGAAATAACATTGATTGTAATTGAAATTATTATTCTTATAATATTATTCATGCAAATCTTTCTTTTTCTATTGATATTCTTTTATCTTCAATCATTATTTTAACTAATTTATCAGCAAAATTTATCTATATTTATCGGAAAAATCAAACGGAAATTTTGATTTATTTCTAATCAACTAATCAAAAAAGTAAATCGGCAAATCTTCATCGTTTCTAATTTAAACGTATCATACTGATAGATCAAAATTGAAATACTACCTGTATGTTACTAATTTGATTAAATCTTGAATTACATTTATGGAATAAGGGAAAATTTCTATCTTTAAATTAGTCTTTTTTTTTAGAAAAAAAAAAAAAAAAACTTTTTTAATTTACCACTATTTGCATTCTTTTTCTTATTTTAAAAACTTTGTTTACGAATGGAAATTAGCGCAATGTTCTAATAAGCATCTTGTAAAGCACATATTTATTAATTTAACTTCCAAAAATTGCTTTTTTTTTTTTTTTTTTTAATTTATGTACGAATATCTTTTCAATTTATCTCTCAATTTATAAACAGATAATGTTACAAAATTATTAAATATTTATTTACTTCAAATAAACAAATTTTTTGAAAAAAAAAAAAAAAGAATTTCACTCAATAAATGTTGATTTGATATAAACGTTCCTAGGTTCTCTTCTGTGTTTAAATTTAAAATTTATCAAATAGAGAAATTCATTTCAAATTTATTTGATCATATTTCAGAAAAAGTTTGTTTTTTTTTTTTTTCAGCATTGGATCATATTCATAAATTATTCTACGCTTTTTGCAATTATTTTATTTAAATGAACAATTTGAAAATTTTTTAGAAATTCTATTTATAGGTATAAAGATGTGAAATTAGTTATCCAGAAAATGGTATAATTGTATGCAAATTTTTTTTTTTTGCTAAAACGATAATATGGCAAATGCAAATGCATGTGATGGTACCATATCCATTCTTGTCGGCGAGTCACAGTCAGGCGCAAATGTATTATCTACCAAATTAGCGCATCAAAAAGTCTTTACCGCAAAGTATCTTTTCATTGTCATATTTTTATTTCCAAATTTTTGATGTTTAATTTCCAATCTGAATTCATCTGTGCAGTCTTTATATCATAGTTAGATATTTAAATTAAGCTATTTGCAAAAAAAAAAAAAAAGAAATTAGCTACTGGAAATTCAAACTTATTCTCATTAATTAACTTTAAAATATCTACAAATTCTTGTTTATTAATTAAACTTAAAGTTTTTTTTTTTTTTTTTATTTCTTACTAAAAATAAAATTTGTGGAAATTTTTAGGAAATAAAATTTATAGGGCAATTCGAGAGAGAGAAGTACAACGTATGTCAACCTTGTCAAATAGTCCAAGCAGAGCTCGAATTGGTATATCTCATTTATCGGTACCATTAGCGTGGAATAGCGATGAACACTTCGGAACACGTGGAGGTATATGCGTGTTTTTTCACGTATTTTTTTTTCTAGAATAATGCAAACTAATTTTTTAAACGTAAACTTGAAATGTTTTAAACGTAAACTTGAAAACATTAAATAACTTCTAGCTATTCATGCTAAAAAGTATGCTTAAAAATTTGGTAACTTTGAAAAAAAAAATCAAAGTTTCATATATTTGTAAGTTAATACTTTCTAATTCGGTGTAATATGAAATTTCATTTTTCATTTTTTTTTTTTTTTGAAATTATATTAATTTTTTTGTTTTGTTTTAATTTATCTATCCGTTTATTTGAATTTCTCCCAAATTTTTATCATCAATAATATTACTAAATAAAATTTTTATTTTCCTTTTTCACTTTACCACTGCTATCAAATTTGATTTAAAATTAATTCATTCGAATATTTCTTCTTTTCTTTTTTTTTTTTTAAATTAATTAAAATTTTCATTTAACAAAATTTTTCTTTTTTCCAGAAGGAAAAGTATATTCAATGTTTGTATCACTTCAAGCAACTAACAATGTTAATGACAGTCGCATTGTGACAGCCGTTGATCGTACCTGTACAGATGTGGCATTTACCGATTCATTCGTTTTGTTTGTTACATTAATTTGAAATTACATTAAAAAAAAAAAAAAAAAAAAAAACGAAATTTTGTTTTTCTAAAATTTCTCCTTGAAATTTTATTTTTCATATGAAAAGATAGAAAGATAATTTTCAGGTAGTATCTAAATGTTTTTACTACAATTTTAATTTGATTTTGTTTTGTTTTGTTTTGTTTTTTCGAGAATAGTGAAGTTAGAAAGAATTTAATGAATTTGTTATTTGCTAAAGAATAATTAAAAAATTTTGCAAAATATACAAATTTTATTTGATTTTGATATAATGTTGAAATAAAAATTCATTTGAAAATTTTAGTGAAAATCAACCGGTAGATTTTGAAATTGAAATTCAACTTTATGCATCACGAACTGATGGTGGTGATAGCAATCAATCATTAAAGCAGAAATTAACTCGTTCATTTGGACGACGATTTGGCGCTAATTATGTTAGTTATTTCAATCATTTTGATTTGATTTTTTTTTTTTAAATTTAAAAAAAATAAAATTTACAAAGATAAATTGTTTACATAATTAATGAAATTTAGAAGACAAATTTGTTGAATGATGATACGATACCATTTGATTCATTAATGAACGGTGAAAATGGTAGCAATGGTAGCAATGGTAGCAGTCAAGATAGCTCAAACAATAAATGTTTTCATCTGTTAGGTCGAACAACATTAACTTTAAGTGATGCGAAACCAAAAGTTGGAATTTATGATCTTCATTTGTCACCAAATGGTACTCATTTGAAGTTCATTTGATAAATTAAAAAAATATATATTTATTGAAATTTTTCTTTTTTTCCAAATGTTCCCTTTTTGTCTGATTGATCAATTAATTGATTAATTGTTTCGAATTTAAAATTTCAACAATAGCTTAGTTTCAAAAACTTATCTTAAATAAATAAATAATTATAAATATATTTATCAATTCTTACATATTTTTCATTCTTAAGAAAAATTGAAAATTTTTTATAAAATCTTTTAAAATATTACTGTGAATCATTAATACTTATTATTATTATTGTGAATTATTAATACTTATTATTATTATTATTATTGTGAATTATAAATAGTTATTATTATTGTTATTGTGAATTATTAATAGTTATTATTATTATTATTTGAATTATTAATAGTTATCAAGTGATAAATACTAATATTATGACATAGAATTTAGTGCAAAAAAAAAGGAAAAAGAAAAGACAACCAAAAGTAATGTTTTAAAAACAAAAAAAACAAAATAATAATAATAATTTTAAAAATTCAATGCTAATACTTTGTATAAAGTAAAAATTGTCATTATTAATTTGTTATTAATTTGAGAAATAATTGAACAAAAATGTTTGTTTTCTATTTGATATACCGCATTTTTTAACAATTTCTCATTATTTGACTATATTTTCAAGCATAAAATATTACAGGTAATTGTGAAAAAAGTAAGATTTGATTTTTGAATAATAAAAAATTTTTATTTGCATAAATTATTTGGATGAAATATTCAAAATTTTATTTCAAACATTTTTTTTTTTTTTATACTTAATTTTATGTAAATAAAACTAAGTACTAATATTTTGCATTATAGCAGCTAATTATGGCCCACCATTATATGGCAATATTCGATGCCGAATTGTCGCTCAACCAAATTCAGTTGCAATGCCTCTATCAGATGGTATTTTAACAATTAAACCCATTGGTTATGATTGTTTGTATCAGAATATGCGTTGTAGATTACAGGTTTGTGTTATGAGAATAATTAGTTTATAAGTTTAATTAATTAGTTTATGAGTTTATAATTTTGATTAATTAGTTTATATCATTATTAATTTGAGAAATAATTGAACAAAAATGTTCATAAGTTTATAGTTTAAGTTTTTTTTCTTTTTTTTTTATAATTTTAATTGATTAGTTTATGAGTTTATAATTTTAATTGATTAACTTATAAGTTTATAATTTTAATTGATTAGTTTATGAATTTATAATTTTAATTGATTAGTTTATAAGTTTATAATTTTAACTGATTAGTTTATAAGTTTATAATTTTAATTGATTAGTTTATGAGTTTATAATTTTAATTGATTAACTTATAAGTTTATAATTTTAATTGATTAGTTTATGAGTTTATAATTTTAATTGATTAGTTTATGAGTTTATAATTTTAACTGATTAGTTTATAAGTTTATAATTTTAATTGATTAGTTTATAAGTTTGTAATTTAAAAAAAAAAGCACAGAAAAAATTACCTCAAACTTTTTTAAAAAAAAATTTTTTTTTTTTTATAGGCTGGTGTTTTACGATGTGCAACAAGCAATTCATTGCAAAATCAAATCCTTCTTCACATTTATATTAATAAGGTAGGTAAGTAAATGTGTGATCATTTGTAAGTAAACAATTTTAAAATTCAATAAAATAAATAACATATCGAGAATGATCAGAATTTAATATCTTAAACATTTTACTTATTAGTAACATAGAAAGTTAAACTTTTATTAAATTTGACTTTACTTATCTAAAGTTTGTTTTTTGTTGTTATTAAATAACTCTTGAACTATTGTATAGATGTTCGGCCATATCAGTTAACAACAATTCAATTTAATAAATTATTTTTAAATTTCCAATACTAATCCTAACATTACTATGTGATTTATTTTAAAACGATCCGCTCATGACATAGTGATAAATTAAAAATAAATCTTTGCTGCTTAAAAGTTAGCTTAGATTTATGAAAAAAATAAAATAGTGGACAAATCAAATAAGAGCAAAAGAATGGTGTAAAAAGAAGTAATTAATTAGATAAAATCATTACCAGGTAAGTACTAGGTAGATTAATTGTAGCATTCATAAATTAAAATGTAAAAATGCGAAATATGATTTTAGGACAAATTATTTCTTGTTATCCGAAAACATTTCCGGAAAGCAAAAATGTTTAATTAAAACTCAGTAATCATGGATTTTAAAATTATCATTTAAATAGATATGAAAATGACAAAGTTTAATATGGTAATTACATTGTTTGTAATATTAAAATGAACCTTTTTTTTTTTGTTAAAAATTTATTTGATTGGATTTTTGTTTATTGAAATAATATGCGGTTCATCTGCAGAAAATAGTTTAAAAGTTATTCAATAATAAAAATTAGATTTAGATCTATAAATTTCTTCTTTTTTTTTTTTTTATTTAAATCTATAATTATTGACGATATTCATTTCCGTCAATGAAAATTACTTTACATGCTTATACGTTGTAATTTTTTTTTTTCACGTGACGTGTTACTAAATGCCATAAATCTTATATAAAATTTCCTACGTTTGAATTTTTTTTTTTATTTTACATTTGAGTAATGAATTATTTTCTTCTAGTTATGTTGTTGTTGTTTTTTTTTTTTTTTTATTTACTCATTCAATGTTTACTTTTATGTTTGTGAAGAGAAATACAATTTAAAAATAGTCCTTCCTTTCTTTCTTTCTTTTCCTTTCTGAGAATTAAAATAAATTTTTAATTTAATATTCCATCAAAAATTACAGGATTCAAAGATATTAGCATGTAAACATCAACGCAGTATTATTGTTACCTCAGATTGTTATTTAGCTGGAACAAAATATGATAAACAATTTATTTTAACTTCTGATAGTGAAGAAGATATTGCTGCATGGAGGCATGCAATTAGCTTACAAATTGCTGATTGCGGTTTGCTTTGTTTATTTTATTTTATTTTTTTTTTTACTAATTAATTCATTTCTTTTAATTAATAAATTTTGAGGAAAATTTTCATATTTCTTATTTAAGCATTTTAACCAAAAAAATTTGATAATCAATTTTTTGTTACTTATCTGAAATTATTGTCATTTTTCACGGTCATTGTCAATTTGAGAATGTTAGCAGTTTTTTTTTTCTTTTCTTCTTTTTTTCCCTCTCTCTCTCTCTTTCTCTTTTATTAAATTTTAAAATGACTAAGAAGAGGAATGGAAAATGAATGAATGATTATGAATGCGTTCATTATTTTACAGAACAATGGGGTGAATTTGCTGTTTCATCGATAAGACTAACAGTTGAACCGGATCATCCGGATGTGGTACTTCTATCACGGATGAATGGTCGACGATTGTATGATGAAATTCAAATTCAGGTCAACGGTAAATTACTTGACCTTGTTTCCGACTACTTTTTTTTTTTTCCTTTTTCATATTAAAATTTAGATTTATTATAATTTTGATCAATTCTTGATGAAAATTTTCATCTTTTCATTATTTATGCATTACTATTCATCACTGTTCGATCATTTTGCTTCTATTTCCATCTTAAATTAAGAATTTGAAAATTTGAAATTGTTAGTTCAAAATTTATTCATGTCTTGATACACTTGCAAAAATTTATGTCATATCTTGATTTATATCAACCGTATTTTTTGAACCTGATCATTTATATCATTATTGATCTGATCACTAGTATTTTATCTATTCGATAATTTCATATTCATTTTTTCTTTTTCAAATTTAATCGCTATTTATTAATTTATCTATTTTCAACTAGTATTTTCTCGTATCATCAGCTATTTTATGCTTTAGTACAAATCATATATTATATATCCGGAAAAAGAAAAAAGTAGCTAAAAAGTAACTTAAATTCATTTCATTTAGCTTTTTTTTTTTTTTTTTTTTTCATTTATTCTAATCATTTATTAGTTCAAAAATAGATTAATATTATAAATGAAAAAATATTCATAAGTATTTCTATTAAAATTAATTAATTTATAAGGTGGTATGCAAGGAATTCTCAAAACTCATACATGTAATTCACATCGAAATTTTACAATTGATTCTTCTAAAATGGTTTCATTTGCGCCAACAACAAAATCTATTCATACTGCTCCATCAGGACGTAGACGTAATAGTCGTTCTCATATACGTAATCTTTTTCAGGTATATTTTTTATTTATTTATTTTCTTTTTCATATCATTATTTATTGAATTTATAAATTAGTCATATATATATTCTTTTTTTTCATTAATATTATTATTACTATTACTATTATTATTATTATTATTATTATTATTATTATTATTATTATTATTATTATTATTATTATTATTATTATTATTCTAGCCGGTAACTAATACCGAATATCGTTATGTAATCAATTTGCCGATCAGAGATGTACGAGCATTTCAAAAAACAAATGACACTTCCTCAAAATCAACTACCAATGGTTGTAAGTATTCGATTTATTAATTTGAAAAATTGTTCATATATTTCTTTCACGAAAAAAACGATAAATGATTGATCAGATTAATTCTGATCACAAATAAGAATTGAATTAATTAAGCAAACTAACTTAGCCACATATGAATGTTATTCTATTTTCTCTTTTTTTATCACTAGATAATGATAATAGATAAAATAATATATTAGAAAAATATAATTCAAAAAGTGTAAGTAATAAATTTAAATGGAAATTAAATGAAGACGAAAATAAGGTAATGTAAGATGAAATGAAGAAAAATAAATAACAAAAAAAAAAAAAAGCAAATGAATGATGTTTTTAATTTGATACATTTTGAACTACGATTTATGCCAATAAAAGATTTGAAGAAACATTTTAAAAATAAAAATACCAATCATTCTTTATCTGAACTACTCCTTTCATTACCCTTGAAAAAGTTTGAAATTATTTTGATTGATTACTTTTTCATATTCAATCATATAACATTAAAAACATCACTGCTCAATGTTCTAAAGTATAATGATGATTAATTTTATTATTATTTATTCTGTTATAATTGTTAATTTTAACTTTTGTAATTTTATTTTCGTACTTTTTTTTTTAAAAAAAAAACATTTAAATCATTTTCTCTTTTCCGTTTTTTTTTTTTTTTTTTTTTTTGTTTTTTATTTTGTTCCAATTTTTTACAGTGTTAATTATTTGTAAAAATCAGCTATGATAATAAAACATTAATATTTTAAGTATTACTAATTTCAAAGGAAAAAAAAAAAACTACGCATTTAAGAAAATTATAGTAATGAGAGCAAAATTAAAATTAGAATCTATATGAATTAAACAAATTTCATTCAAATTGCACCTATATTGCACTAAACTTACATATATTAAATTTAAATTAAGCTGAATAAAATTGATACTAACAAAGTTAAATTCAAAATAATGTATACCTAATTAAAATATAATTGAAACTTTGTCAGATCTGATTTAATCAATAATGATTGATTTAATCAATAATCAATAATGATAATTAAACAAAGCTCTTTCTTTTTTTTTTTTGATAAATATTGTAAAAATGATTTTCTTCAGATATAAATAATCTGTCATCGTATGCACAAATGAATGGAGGACAATACAATGATCAAGATGAAACGGTATGCATTTAAATAGTTTATTTTCTTTTTTTGAATAAAATTTGAAATTTTTACTCTAATTCAGAGATTAAGAAAGATATAATTTAGGATTTGAGTATTATATAAATTTATAATTTTATAAAATTTACCGTTTTTTTCTTTTAAATCAAAATTTCGAATTTTTTTAATTGTAGAATGCTACACCAGTGGATGTATATGATGTGGTTCCGGAAAATTGGTCAGAAAATTTTTTTAAAAATTTTAAAAAAACTTTTCAAAAATCATTCGGTGTGTTGAAAAATCGTAAATCTCTTGAAGTATCTCGTTTCTAAATTTAATTAAATATATACGCTAATTATTTATGTTGATTGCTTGCTAACAATAATTTTTCATTTCTTTTTCTGAAACTTTTTTTTTTATGATCGAAATAATTGATAAGAATTTGAAATTGGATAGATTTAATTGGAAAAATTTGTGATATTTGTTTGAAATTAAAAATTTTTTTTTTGCACTAAAAAAAATGTTTAATCATTTGGTAATTGATAAAATGCTTATTTTGTATCAAATATTATTAATATTTATATTGCTTTATGTAAAATGAAAATATACTAAATTTTTCACTTTTATTATTGATGTGAAATGAAATTTTAACTTCAATAAAATAACAGGTGAATGTTGTAAAACTTGCAAAAATGAAAGTAACTAATGAAATTACTATTTTATGATTATTTCTTTTCTGAATCAAATTTTCCTCGCTATTGAATTATTTATTTTATTGGTTTACAATTTAGATTTATTGCCTAGTAATTTCAATATCAAGAAATAACATTGATTCCTATTATTCATACCTGTTTGTCATCTCAGTATCAGTACTATTTACTTCATTTGAAAAATAATAACATTTCTATTTTGTATGGATGCGAAGATATCTTTCATCTAGAAATTATCACTTTGTAATTATTCCAAGTATCAGAGAATTACTCGAATTTTAATATTAAATTTTCGGAGAAAAATCATTACTTCATGAACAAAGAAAATCGAAAAACTACATATAATGAGAGTATTATTTTTAACTTGTTGAAAAAAAAAAAAAAAAAACTAATTTTGTGATAAATGCTGTAAAATTAGCACATAAAAGAAATTTTGATTCATTGTTTCAGTTTGAGTCGTTAATTTTTAAATTTCATAAAAGATGAGCATAATTATGTATTTACTAAAATTACTGAAAAATTTTAACATGACCGGAAGTCAAAATGACCGGAAGCAATTATCTTTCCATGGTTGAGCTTTTCTTTGATAACAATGATGATTACCAAATAACCATCTTGTATTTAATTACAGTAAATATCTTCATCTTTTATTGGAGATGAAAGTATAAGAGGATTATCACGTGAGGTCAGTATAAGAGGATTATCACGTGAGGTCACACATCACCTAAGGTCAGATTTAACACTTTTCGAGAAGGACAATTACTGGAAAGCACTAGCATCAATCATAGAACATAATTCATGTACAATATTATCCTTCATTAAATTATCTGCAATGATAGCCAGATGTCGCTTTGGATCAAAATGACCAACTTTTTTTGCTTCAATTTCAGCTTTTGATAATCCGGTTGACTTCTCCGTTTTATTTTCTGTTCCTTTTTCACTACTATATGGTTTTTTCAGCATGAATAATTCCTGATTTTAAAGAAAAAAAAAAAAGAAGGAATTATAACTTTAAATGAATGTAAACTAATTTCAATGCAAATACAAAAATATGAAAATTAACTCCGAAGCGTTTCACAAAAGATATATTCATGTCTAATTAAAAATACGAAGATTACAACAGAAAAGTTAAAATTCTCACTACTAATTTGATAGAGGATATTTTTTGTTTAATTTTAGAAATTTCATAAGTAACAAAGATAGGAAATTCAAATATTTAGTAACTATATTTCATAATGGAATGTGAGTTCACAAGGTTTAAATATTTAAAATTGAGATTTTTCTAAATGTTTTGGCTTATCACAACGAAGAATGAATTTATCTCGAAAAAACCTAAGCTTTATTTATGCATTAGCCCTTTGAAACAATACTAATACTCATAATTGCTAAATTCTTCACCAAATCTTACTAATTTCTCATTCAACAATAAGTTATAAATCAATCCTGAATCCATTTAAGTACAATAAACCGATTAGTTCTTATGATACAAATGCAACTTCAATATTTTTTGGTTAATATTTTCCTTTTTTAAAATAACTTTATCTAATAAATTTATTAAATTACTTTGTTATAAAGTTTGATCAATTTAACCATTTGTTCCATATTTGCTAAATTATTTTGTGCTATACTCTCGAAACTATTCAACTGTAATCCTTCAGCCCAATTTTTCATATGCAAACTTTCTAGCATTTGCTGCTCTTTGATTGTTAACTTGAAGTTTATTGTTATTGAATAATAGCTAAAATTTTTTTTTTTTTAAGAAAAAAAGACCAAAATTTTTTTAGATGCTAAATAATTAAATTGAAAGAATGTACTAAATGAGATGGTTTGATATTGTAAATGAAATTCAGATAATTAAATATAAACATTAAATATATAAACAAAATGAAGCGCATTATAATCGAAAGAACTTTCTGATTTAAATTATTCGTCATTTTCTGAACAGTTAACCATTTAAACCATCTAAAATTTTTCCAAGAACGTGTGAAATTTAAAAGAAAAATTTGAACTTTTAATTTAATCTGATGAAAAAAAAAAAAAAAAAAAAAGAAACGAATGAGAAATTGTTACTGAATAATAGGTAAAATTTAAAATGAGAAATGAAAAAAAAAAACCTTTTGCCAAGTCCATGAACTTGCTCAACAATAGAATGTTTCACCAAATGTCCCAAATTAGAAGTGGTTTGTCGTGATTCTTGAGTAGGTGCCAGTGTCTTTTGTGAACTTTCCAAAAAACTGAATTCCAAAGTATTCGGTCCGATTGTACGAAAAGCATCAATTACTACCTGAAGGTAATAATAATTGGAGTATAATCAATCAATATTGATCACATATTTCAATTTTTTAATGATGGAAGGACAAATTTAAAAGATGCTTACCTTTCCTTTGACTGATTGTATTGGATCGATAACGATTGCAACAGCACGATCACTTAACGCTTCAAAACTTCGTTGTGTAGCAATATCAACACCGGATAACCAACAACCAAATCCGGGATGTGAATGGTACCAACCAACAACCATTTCACTTCGTCCCGTACGATTTAACATATCCAGCATTTTAGTTTGATATACCGGATCGACTGCTTCCACAGATACACCCTAAAATTTACACAGTAAAAATTGATTATTGAAAAGAATTGTTTTTTAAAGTTTATTTCAAACATTTGTTTCTTTTCAATTTTGAAAAAGCCATCTGAAAGCGGTTAATAGCTGAATCAAAGACATACTGCAAATTGTTTCAACAATAAATTTAGAACTTACAGAAATAGCAAATCTTTTTTCGTTCTCCCAAAATTCTCTTCAAATTTTTATACTTTATTTAATCATTTCTTTAACAAAACTAATCTCAATTCTCGTTCTTTAGTATCCTCATTCCAGGATTCTTCTACTTTACTTTTCTTCTATATCTTTCATGCAGTGTTTTTTTTACAAAAAATATTTTATTTCTTACCGTTCCGGATTGTGGCATAGCAAATACATCAACAACATTAATCGTAAAATCATCAACAAATTCGCCCAGCATTAAACCCATGACCTAAAAATTTCGCTGCAATTACAGCTAATAAAAATTGCCCAACAATTTTTTTTTTGTATAATTTTTAATATAATTTTTTTTTTTTTGAATTGTTATTAACTGAGTGTTAAAGTGTATTTAAATTTATAATGAAATTAAATATTTGATAAGCATCAAAAATATTAGCTGAAATCTTTTTACAGTCAATTCCAATGTCATTAAAACGTCTAACAATTTCTATTTTAAATCTTTCCTCATCATGCATCTACATTTAGCATTATCGCTAATTAATGTAATATTTTTGATTCTACTAATTAACTATTACTCATTTCATCAAAAAAAAAAAAAAAAATTTTGATTATCCATCTGATAACAAAATTAATCATTGTTTTATCTCAAATGATTTTACATCATTTTTCATTTCTTAATAGTACAGATGAAAGTTCAAAAAAAAAAAAAGTTATTTAAAAAAATAAGAATTTCATCTTACTTCCATAGGAACACCAGCTCGACCATGTCGAAGCATTTTAAGAAGAGCAAGTGACGAGACATAAACAATTTCACCGGTATCTGGATGCTTTAGTATATCCTGTGGTGTTGCTTTCGGTAGCTAAACATAAAAAGTTGACATTATTAATGTCACAACATTTCAGAATTATTTGTTATTTTCAGTTCAAAAATGCAAATACTAAACTTATAATCCAATTGATAAATTGGAATACTTTTTTTTTTTTTTTCTAACTTCTTTAAAACTTTCACCATTTAATTACAATTATTGTGTAAATGTCCAAGTTGAATTGAAGAAAACAATAACTTATCAATTTGAGATATCACATTTAAACTATCAAAGCTACACGTGAAGTTTATAAGCTTGACGTATTTTCTATACCGAACTTATGATTATTACGTGTATAACGTGTATACATCCTATAACAGTTCTAGCAAAAAAATTAGATCAGAATTGTATTGTTGACATTACGTAAAATATTTTAACATACACTATTAAAACCGGTTAAACGAAGCAACCGTTCCATGTTGCTTAGAAAAATTAATTTGAGTGACAATTATCATTTTGAAGTAATTTATAATTATTCTTATTACAGTTTTCAAATATCGAAATTGAAAGTTTAAAGAAATTCAGAATCATTAATTATTTTTATTTTCATCAAAGGAGTTGAATGAAGCAATTTAGAAATTTCATTTCGTGCACATGCGTGTAAGTAGTGCACGCTGATAGTGTGGTTTGAAGAGTAAATTCAGGAAATTTTTGCATATTGCAGATTGTTTCACGTAATCAGTGGTAAGGTTTTCTTTACCGGATTGTATTCCTGATAAGCTGGAAGGGTATACAACCATTTCCGGAATGCTTTGTTATGGATCATTGCTTTAGTATAGTGGTAGTTCATGTTTTACTCAAATTATTGCAGCCACATGTTGTTTCCAGTTGTGATCATGCGGCATGTACTACACGTAGTTCTATTTTACGCACGTGACTAATGCAGTGCGTAAGCAACGTCTTATCTAGTAATTATGTCACGTAATTGCATCATTTCTTAATTTCTCTCCATGAATTTTACACAAAATTTCAGCTTTAGTCAGCGATTTACTGTATAATTGTCGATGCGTGATTAGTTATCACATACGACGGCGGATGGACACAACGCCTGTGACGTTCGAAACTTTTGCAAAAGCATATGAATGTATCCTGGAATGTGTTGAAGATGAATTTGGTAAACGAAAAAAGCATTTAACAGCTAATGATCTCAAGCACGTTGTTATAATCCATAAAACATTGATCAATCGCGGTTTACATCTCTCTCGAATTGGGTATCAATTGAATTTTATCATTTTATGTTATCTAATGGGAATTCTTGCTTTTTGCGAAATATAAAGAATGGAAATTTAGACAAAGCATTTTAGAATTTTTCGATGTTAAAAGTTACATTTTGCCCGATATTTTGCAAAGATATCTAAAAATGTGACCATAATGAAAAGTTAGTTTTTAGAGATAGCATATTAACTGAAATAGTTGATTCATTATTATGCGAATGGGAAGAATCAGCGCCACCATCAGTAGCAGTACAGCAGCTTGTTTCACTTCTCTCCAGGCCTATTATTAAGGTAGTTGCATTTTATGAGAATTGAAATTTTATTCATTCAGTAAAAATGTGAGTAATAAATCCGATCTCGAACACAGTTAGATTTGTCTTGGAATGTTTGTCTTCGTTACTGGCCAATTATCGAGACTAAATTTTATTGAGTGGTCAAGACTCTTTTTTTCTTTTTGTCGTTATTATTTCCAATTGTAGAGCTTATTCTCCGTATATGATATAACTTCAAATCGCACCTATTTGCCACAATTACCAGAAATACCCTATGAGGTTGATGACGATGATGGTATTGCTATTAAACTGGTTCGATTGGTAAAAGGTAATGAAGCTCTTGGTGCAACTATAAAATGTGATACTGATGGAAAAGTGTATATTGCCCGTGTTATAGCTGGTGGAGTAGCTGATCGTAGCGGCAATATTCAGGTTTTCATAATTTTTTCTTTTTTTTTAATCCTAAGATTAAAATTGTTATGTAGTTTAATTTAGAAGTTTTGAATTTTTAAAATTTTGAAAGCTTGTATTATCTTAAACGGTTTCATTTTTAATAGTGTTTTCTCTGGTCACTTTTTTGAATTTGTCTCATACAACACAAAAAACATGTGAAAATAAATTTCCGTACTGCATCATTATTCTTGGCATATAGTCGATAAAATGCTGTTGGTATGATAGAATAAAAATTGTTTCAATTTCAAAATATTAAGTGCGTTTGAATATCATAGATTTTTAATTCGTTCTATATTTGCATTGGGATTGGTTTATTAGCAGAGGAGCTCTAAACAAAAAAAAAAATATGGCTGATAAGAGTTACCGTGATTTATCTGGTTTTTTCCTTGGAGAAACTTGGTATTTTTACTATTTTTAAACTTTGAAGGTTGGAGATCGGGTTTTGGAAGTGAACGGTGTCTCTGTTACGGGCATGAGTCCAAATGAAATCGTCAAATTGTTAGGTAACGAAAACAATGAAAACGGCACAGTCACTTTCAAATTAGAACCTGCTGAAATACCTGCAGCTGTTGTGTGGAATGAATCGCGACACGTTCGTGCTTTGGTAACGTTCATGTCTATATTCATTTACATTTTTTATTTAGCATCTATTATTGTGTTTGTTCAAAAGAATTATTAACACTGTTTTGTTGTACGTTCATGATTAATGGAGAAAAATTAAGATTTTAATGTATTCTAACATAAGATTTTAAATGTTGCAGCAGATGATTTGAGTATAGCTTTTAATTACAGATCGATTATTCTGGTAGTCGGGACTCCTTACATCCTTGTCCAGAAGCAGCTCTTTGTTTTACCCGAGGGGAAATATTGGAATTAGTAGTAACAGGTGATGAACATTGGTGGCAGGCACGTTCACTCGGACATGGCTCATTTGCCACACTACCATTAGCATCCGCTGGTTAGGTTCATCACGCATATAGTTTTTGTTTAATTAAATCTGTTGCTGTTATTGCTTGTAGTATTTTTGATATTTTTCATGCAGTATTTTCTATTAAACAAAATAGAGAATGGATGTATTTGTTCCAGTTAATCAGCTTAAAAAACGAGTAGGTGTCATTCCATCGGAAGAATTGCAACAAAAACATCGCACTTTGAGAGAGAATGAAAAGTTCAAGATTGGAACTCGAAAGTTTCTGAAAACTGGCAATGAGGTTTCTTTTTTTTTCTGCTAAACTTTGTAAGTGTTGATATTTTTCCAGTTTATTCTTTTGTCATCGACGCAACTTCAATTCCTTTTTTTTTTAACTCACATAATGTTATGTTAACTATTAAATTTTGAAATTTTAGTTGTCAGATTTATTTCTTTTCGAAATCAATAATTCCTGTTTTTTAATCATCCTTGATATTTTGTTCGTTCTCAGTCTAAATTTATCTTAGTATTTTTTATACGGTTTTTTTTTTTTTTTTTCAGATTGATAGTTTATTGTATGAATCAGTATCATTACTATATCCGAAGCAGTCTCTTATCCGGCCAATCGTTTTAATCGGACCCCCGGGTGTTGGGCGTAATGAACTTAAAAAGCGACTAATTGCCATCAACAGTGATCGTTATGCTACAAGTGTACCTCATACCAGTCGTCCTCGACGGTATACTTTTTTTTCAATTATAAATCATAAACATTTTCTTGACATTTCATTGGCGACATTTAAGGAGACAGTGAAAATTTTCAGTAAGTTGTTTAACTAAAATGAGCATTGTTCTAAGCACTAAGACTGAGTTTCTGGAATCGTTACTAACTTCATCCAGCTTTTGATTTAGATTGTTTTTGTTTCGCATTTCCGATTGCATATTCGCTATGACTATCATTCGTTGAAATGAAACTATGGAAATGATTAGTCAGTATTGTTTCATTCATTTTTATTTAAATTAAATAAGAACTGTAAGGAAACAGAAACTACTGATTAAGAAATTCATGGAATAAAACGACCAACAATCAGCAATAGATTGCAGTTCACATGAAAAAGATGGTGTTGATTACCATTTTGCTAAACGTGACAGCATGGAACACTGGATAAGACAAGGACGATTCTTAGAATATGGAGAATATAAAGGAAATTTATATGGTACACTTGCTGATTCGGTTCATGCTGTTATCAAACAAGGTACGATGTTAGTAATGAATGATCCATATTTTTATTTAAAAAAAAAAAAAAAAAATGGGAAAAGAATTTAAATAGAACATTGTCATTATTATTACTTTAATTCATTTTCAGGTCGCATACCTGTTCTGAATACACATCCTTTGGCATTACGGATTTTGCGCTCGAAAGTGTTCAAATCTTTCGTTATTTTTGTTAAACCACCGCCATTTGATATTTTAAAGGTATTTGGCAGCATGAAACTACTTTTGACTAATTTTTATTTGGATTTGCTTCAGGACATGATTACTATAAATAATTGGATAGGGTGTTCCGACTGTAATGTATGAGTTTTTGTAAATTTTATTCTAATGCTTTTTCTTCATTAACTTGTTGATAATCTTAGGAATGTTATGAGTGTTAAAGTTACTTTCTAGGAAACTCGACGTCAGCATCGTGCACGAAACTTGCAAGCTACAGATTCTGGTCATCATGGTACATCAACACCAATATCAGTTCGCGGATTTACAGATTCAGAATTTGAACAAATGATCTCAGCTGGTGAACAGCTTTTTCAGATCTATGGACATATGTTTGATCATGTGTTGACAAATGCTAATTTCGAGGCTTCATTTGAGCAATTACGAAACATAGTAAATAAATTAGAGCATGAACCAACATGGGTACCTTCCGATTGGGTCGATTAATAAAATAAGAAGTATGTGTCAACATCTTGCCAATTTGTAGCACATGTTCTGGGGTTATTTATTTTTTTTTATTATTTATGAAATTCCTTTATCATTCCTTAACAATATAATCTGATTCTGTTTTTTTTTCCTGTTTTTCAGGACATATTAGTAACCTGTTTTATTAAGGTGATATATCTTAAGTAACAACTTAACCACGTTTCTCATTTTAATGTTTTGTGATATATTTTTATAACTGCCACAATGAATAATTTACGGTCAGATTAGGCACTATTAATAATATACTGTTGGTCACTGTAGGTCAAAGTTAATTTAAATCATAGGATCTTATAACTAATCCTTTGAGATTTTTTCCGGTATTGAAAAGATTGTTTATCGGTTTTATTCTTTTGATTTTGTTTGGATTTGTGAGCTCCTATCTTTTCTAGTATGTGAAGTGTTTCATTGTTTTGATATTCATTCCACTTCTTTTCAATCTCTGTATTTGTTCCGACAGAAGACCATTACAAAATTCTTTTGTTTTCAGATAATTTTAACCTTAGCCAATTTTTTTTTTTATCATTCCTAGTCAGTTTAAAAGAGTTACTTTTATGCGTTAGGATGAAAAAAGATTATGCACATAATGAGGGAAGGATTCGTAGTGTATTTCGGTTGAGCAATATTCTGAAAAATTTCCTCACAAATACTAAAAAAGTCTAGTGTTATCTTTTTGATGATTGCTAATTTATATTGCTTTCCTGATAATTATCTAGCTAATAATTGCCGAATTTTACCTAGCTAATAATTACCGAACGTTAGTTACATATATGTCGTAAAGAAAGAAAATGCGACCAGTTAAAATATTTTATAAAATGCATTGGAGACAGTAGTTTGTTATGAGTGAGAAAAAGGATTTATATTTGTTACTTTTTTTTTTTTATGGGCTCAATTTGATTTTTATTGCTTTATTCCTTCCTGCAACAATATTCCATTTATAAATTTTGGTGCTGTTTATGTTGTTGCTGTAAGCTGTGCCGTTTTTTCTTGCCATTCAAATTGAAAATGATAAATATCAATCAATTCATTCATTTTCTTAGCGTCAGAAAGAAATGAACTAATATTATTTTATTATTATCAAAAGAGGGACTGTGTAATTCATTGTATAATTTCAATTTTAGAATTCATTTCAAATTAGGATTGGAGAATTTTTAGCTAATGTAATAATCTCCTTTCTCCTTTCATTTGCATGTAAATGAGATGGAATGACATTATGATAAATATAATGTAAATGAAAGAATGAATGCACAATTCTTTTCATTAAGTTTTGATTATTCCTGATTTGATTTCAAGAATATTCAGAGTAGTATTCTTCAGAAAAATTCATATATTTATTTGTGCTATTGCTATTCAATGCATATTATTGTTCTATCATATCATTAGCTGAGTAGTATTTAACAAATGTCGATTTTGCATCAGCAATGTTAGTTATCATTTGAATTAAATTTTGTTATATGAGATAATTTCTTTTAAAACCAAGAATTTTTTTTTTTTTTTTTTTAATTCTTGTTAAACTAATCAGTAATTAGGTTGTGAATAACTTGTGCAAAAACTACACAATGCTAATTTTATTTTAATTAGCAGTCTAATGCATGAGTAGTAGTTTCAGTTTGCTATATGCAATTTTTTTTTTATTTTAAATTTATTTTATTTTTTTTTTTTTTTTTTTTTTTTTTGAGATGTCTCTTATTCATCCATTATCATTCTGTTTGTTAATGAGTTCATCTAAATTTGACTCTATAAAATATCAATTTTTTTTTTTTTTTTTTCTTTTGATCGAATTTGATCGTTATAAATAAATATTGTTATAATAACAGAGATCTTATGAATATATTAGATAAACATAATAAGAATACATATAATCCATACATACAAATATTATAATTTTTACTCAACCAAATTTTATCATTTTATATTGCACAGTTAATAAATACGAATGATTATTGCATAACTCATTCAATTTTCCTAATTTGCTATTATAAAAAAATATATATATATATATTAAATTATTATCATTTATTATTACTGTTATGATCGTGACATTTTGAGAAATAGCAATCGAGCAAGGATACGTTTAAAAGCTGTTCGAAAATCATTCGAAAAGACAGTATAAATGATAGGATTAAGTGCTGAATTCAAATAACCTATAATTTAAATGAAAATAAAAATGAAAAAAATTTAGTGGATACATTTTATATCAGATTATTTTTGTATAAATTTATAAAAATAAAAATTTTCTAATTTATTAATTATTACTAACCTAACCAATTGGTAATAGATTCCAATAATATTGGTATTTCACATCGACATATTGGTCGATAAAGTGATACTAGAAAAAATGGTGTCCAACAGGCTACAAATGTTCCCGTAATAATAGCAAGCGTACGCCATGCTCTACGTTCACGTTTCATTTCTGCATTCTCTTTAAAACATCCTTTCCTTTTCCTCATAGAAGCATTCATTTTTTTCTGTTGATTTTTATCATTTGCTACAAATAAAAAAAAAAAAAAAAAGTTATCACGTAACAAATTTTTTTTTTTTTTTTTTGAAATATATGAATTTAATTTTATTTATACAAAAGATTAATTTTTATGAAAAAAAAAAAAAATAATAATTAATAATTATCTATTTGTAAATATATATATATTTTTTTTTTAAATTTTCTATCTAAATTATTTTTTCCCTTACTTGTTTTTCTTTTCTTTTTTCTTCTTTCAATCAATTTTTTATCAAATATTTTTATATTCTTATAACTAGCTAATATTCTTATGATTAGTTGAATGCAAATTTGATATGTCTAGTAGTTAATTCCCACTGGAATAAAATTTCATTATTTCAAACCAAGAAATTATGCATTCAATGAAAAATAGATTTTTTAAAAAAAAGCAAAAAAATAAAATAAAAATAAAAATAAAAACTTGATTGTAGTGGTGTTTCAATTGAATCACATTGATGTTCTCCTTGAAATGTTTGATTAGTAGTACTAACTTGAATCATTTCATTTCCTTTGCTCAAATTTGCATTTGTTTCTGTTCTTGACTATAAAATTTGATAGTATATGTTAAATAATTTATCAAAATGATATGATAAATCTTTAGCTATATGAATATATTACTCTTTTTTTTGAAATATTTTTTCTGTATTTTATTTTTTTTTTTTTTTTTTTGCTCATTTCAATTTTGCTAAATTTATGGAAAATTGATAAAAAATGAAAAAAAAAAAAAAAAATCAGAAAAATTCATAAAAAATGAAAAAAATTATGAAAAAAGAAACAATTCATTAAAAACATATAAAAAAAGAAAAAATTCATTAAAGAAAAAAAAAATAAAAAAAAAAGTAATAACGAATGATTTTTTGTTTCCATTGTTTATTTTAATTATCATTAATTTGAAAATAAGATTTTGTTTTGTTTTGTTTTTTTTTTTTTTTTTTTTTTTTTTTTGAAATTTTAAAATTAAGCAATAATTATACTTACCTTTAAAAGATTTCCACATTGCTCTTGAATTTTGGTATCACGTTGTGAATAATTAATAGTTTTACGACGTTCACGTTCACGTTTGAAACGACTTTTTGCCGTAAGCATAATTTTATAATAAATAGATATGATAGCACATAATGGAATGTAAAATGCAGTTGCTGTGCTAAATATCTGTAATTCATTTACACTTTTTACTTAATATTTGATAATTAAATATGCAAATTATATTTTATTAAAAAAAAAAAAAAAAGTTTGTACTATTTCAAAATAAATGCTATTGTCATCTGTTTTAAAATTCTTTAATTTTTTTTTTCACATAGATTATTAATTAATTAACATATTAGATAAATTAGCACATATAAGCATTTTAAACTTCTTTTGGCTATATAAATATGTAATTTTTTTTTTTTACATAGAATAAAAAATTTAATTTACAAATTTTACTTATTACTATTATTTCTTTAATAACATACAACACAGAGCCTTTCAGTCTAACACTATCAACATTTGAACGATATCTAAATTTTTTTTTTTATCTCCTTTTAAATATCTAAAAACGAAATTTTCTTAATTTCTAGAAAAATGATAAACAAAAGAGGAATTAGATGAAATTTAAATAAAATCATAAAATATAATTTATTGTCAATGGTCAAAAAAATATCTAAAAATAATTTTTTTTTTCCTTAATTTCTAGAAAAATGATAAACAAAAAAGGAATTAGTTGAAATTTAAATAAATTCATAAAACATAATTTATTATCAATGGTCATTGATCAAATAAGTTATCTCTTATTTATTATAATTATAAATTGTTTCCTAATACAAAGCTCATTTTTATTATTTAATAACTTGGCCCAAGTGCTATTCATAAAATCATGAAATAGAAATTGAACTAATCTTCCATAAACAAATAAACATATCATTTCCTTAGATAAACAAATAAACATATCATTTCCTTAGATAAACAAATAAACATATCATTTTTCCTTAGATAAACAAAAAACAAAATTATTATAATATTTATCAATCAGTATCTCAAATAAAATAAATCTTTTTTTTTTTTTTGAATTAATTGTTTTTCTTATTTATTTTAAAGTTTATTTGTTATGCTTCAAAAAAAAAAAAAACATTTACTCAGATGTGATTGCTTTTATCATTTAAAAGGATCAATAAATTTTTTTATTTTTATTTTTTTACTTTTTTTTTAAAATATATTTTTTTAATTACAAATCATTTTCTTTAACTTTACCCTCACAAGAAAAAAAAAATTATATTTTAAAAAAGTTATTCAAAGAAAAAAAAAAAAAAAGAGAGAAAAACATGTCGTTAAAATCTATTTAAAATATTTTCCTATTTATTCTTTAATCTCATTTCTTTGTATCATCACTTCATGCATTATTTTTTTTTTCATACATTTTGAAAATAATAAAAACAAAAAATCATTTAAAAAAATTAAAAAATTTCCCTATCAAAAAAAAAAAAAAAAAAAGAAAGAAAGAAAAAATGTTTGTTCATTTAAATGAAAATAAATTTTAATGATTATGTATTTTTCTAAAGTTTTAATTTGTCGTCTACATTTTTTTTTTTCTTCTCACAATAATATTTCCTTTTTTTTTGATGCTAATAAATGATAATAATTAAACATTATTTAGTTCTATCAATAATTATTATCACAACATTACAATCAATTATCATTTGCTAAATGTAGAACAGATAACTAATTAAATCTCTTTGCTTATGTAAAACAAATTTACCTGTAAATAAATAATTAAAAAAAAAAAAAAAAAAAGGAGGGAAGGAGGGAGGGAAGGGAAAGTTTAAAAGAAATAAACATAATAATTTTACCTGATAACTTATTTGTTGACTAATAAGGCATACATGTTGCTCTATTACCCGTCGATAAAAATCATTATCTTTCCAACCAAATATTGGCGCTAATGAAATAAGTAATGATAAGAGCCAAATAATCCCTAACATGCCGAATATACGATGTGGTGTACGATTTTGTACATATGAAACATCCGTAACACTCCAATAACGATCTAATGCTGAAATAAATAATCAATTTTTCTTCGTTTTTTTTTTTTTTTTTTTTTTTTAAAAAAAAAAGAAATTTAGGTACAGGTAAAAAATAAGAAGTTATTTTTGTAAATAAATAGTCAATTTTTATTAGAAAATTTAGATTTACAAATAAATAATCAATTTTTATTAGAAAAATTTAGATTTACAAATAAATAATCAATTTTTATTAGAAAATTTAGATTTACAAATAAATAATCAATTTTTATTAGAAAATTTAGATTTACAAATAAATAATCAATTTTTATTATAAAATTTAGATTTACAAATAAATAATCAATTTTTATTATAAAATTTAGATTTACAAATAAATAATCAATTTTTATTAGAAAATTTAGATTTACAAATAAATAATCAATTTTTATTGGAAAATTTAGGTTTACAAATAAATAATCAATTTTTATTGGAAAATTTAGGTTTACAAATAAATAATCAATTTTTATTGGAAAATTTAGGTTTACAAATAAATAATCAATTTTTATTGGAAAATTTAGGTTTACAAATAAATAATCAATTTTTATTGGAAAATTTAGGTTTACAAATAAATATTTTCATTGGAAAATTTAGATACAGGTAAAAAAAAGAAAACAAGAAGTTATTTTTGTAAATAAATAGTCAATTTTTATTAGAAAATTTAGATTTACAAATTAATAATCAATTTTTATTAGAAAATTTAGATTTACAAATTAATAATCAATTTTTATTATAAAATTTAGGTTTACAAATAAATAATCAATTTTTATTATAAAATTTAGGTTTACAAATAAATATTTTCATTGGAAAATTTAAATACAGGTAAAAAAAAAAAAAAACGAAAGAAGAAAGTTATTTTTACAAAGTATTAAATTACTTTACCTATTGCAACTAAATGAAGAATTGAGCTTGTACATACTAATACATCAATGCTAATCCAAAAGTCACATAATTCTACGCCAAATGTCCACGCACGTGTTACTGTTGACCAAGCACCTAATGGTGTCACTATTACACCTACCTGGAAATTAAAAATGTAATATCAAATTTAAATACATTTCGAGCGAAATACTTAAAATGAATGTTTTTTTTTAATTTAAATATTTAAATTTTATCGTAATTGTAAGAAGTAAAATAATAAACGTAAAATTAAGTAAAATTAATCAAATAATCTAATTAGCATTTTTAATCATTTATACTAAAAAGCAAAAAAATAGTTTTTTTTTTTTATAATTAAAAAAAAAAAATTTTACACTTATTACAACATTAATTTTTTGTTTTAATTTTTTCTCATGCACAAAAAAAAAAATTTTATTTCTTAAACAAAATATTGCAGAGAAAAAAAAAAAAAAGAAAACTTTATTTTTTTTTTTTTAATTTATTAAAAAATTTAAACTAACTAATAAATCAGTGAGTGCTCTTATAAAAACATTAATTTTTGTTTTTGTTTTTTTCGTTTTCTAATGCAATAACTTAATTTCTTCCAAAAAAAAAAAATAAATAAATAAATAAATTATAATTTAAAGTAATAAAAAAAAAAAAATCAAAAAAAAATTTAAACTAACTAATAAATCAGCAATAGCAAGCGAAAATATAAGATAATATTGTGGTCGAGCTTTGAGATCACGTTCAGTTAGAATTGCAACAATAACAAATAAATTTCCAATGATACATCCCAAAATGAGTACAACTAAAAGCGCTCCAATAATTGCCATCTATAAATTTATGCTAATTTTATTTACATTAATTTAAGTTAAATCAATTTTTAATTTAATATAAATTTATTTAAATTGATTTGAGTTAAATCAATTTTTAATTTAATATAAATTTATTGACATTAATTTAAGTTAAATCAATTTTTAATTTAATATAAATTTTTTATTTACATTTTGAGTTAAATCGATTTTTAATTTAATCTATATATTATAATTTTTATATTAAGATTTTCTCAATTAAAATTCAAAGAAATTTGAAATTTTTAAAGCTAATTTTATTTACATTAATTTAAGTTAAATCAATTTTTAATTTAATATAAATTTATTTAAATTGATTTGAGTTAAATCAATTTTTAATTTAATATAAATTTATTGACATTGATTTGAGTTAAATCAATTTTTAATTTAATATAAATTTTTATTTACATTGATTTGAGTTAAATCAATTTTTAATTTAATATAAATTTTTTATTTACATTGATTTGAGTTAAATCAATTTTTAATTTAATATAAATTTATTTAAATTGATTTAAGTTAAATCAATTTTTAATTTAATATAAATTTATTGACATTAATTTAAGTTAAATCAATTTTTAATTTAATATAAATTTTTTATTTACATTTTGAGTTAAATCGATTTTTAATTTAATCTATATATTATAATTTTTATATTAAGATTTTCTCAATTAAAATTCAAAGAAATTTGAAATTTTTAAAGCTAATTTTATTTACATTAATTTAAGTTAAATCAATTTTTAATTAAATATAAATTTATTTAAATTGATTTGAGTTAAATCAATTTTTAATTTAATATAAATTTATTGACATTGATTTGAGTTAAATCAATTTTTAATTTAATATAAATTTTTATTTACATTGATTTGAGTTAAATCAATTTTTAATTTAATATAAATTTTTTATTTACATTGATTTGAGTTAAATCGATTTTTAATTTAATCTATATATTATGATTTTTATATTAAAATTTTCTCAATTAAAATTCAAAGAAATTTGAAATTTTTAAAGCTAATTTTATTTACATTAATTTAAGTTAAATCAATTTTTAATTTAATATAAATTTATTGACATTGATTTGAGTTAAATCAATTTTTAATTTAATATAAATTTATTGACATTGATTTGAGTTAAATCAATTTTTAATTTAATATAAATTTTTTATTTACATTTTGAGTTAAATCGATTTTTAATTTAATCTATATATTATAATTTTTATATTAAGATTTTCTCAATTAAAATTCAAAGAAATTTTAAATTTTTAAAGCTAATTTTATTTACATTAATTTAAGTCAAATCAATTTTTAAAGTAATCTATATATTATGGTTGTATTAAAATTTTTTCAATTAAAATTCAAAAAAATTTAAAATTTTAAAATTTAATAACATTATCAGCTATTAATTACTATTATTTCTACTTCTCATTGAAATAATCAAAATTAGCTTTTTCATTTTTCTTTTTCAGATCAATTTGTTGTGGAAAAATTATTTGAGCTATTTCAACTATTGGCGATGGCAAATTTTTGGCTAATTTTGAGATGGCAATCTTTGGCCAATATTTGATGGCAATTTTTGGCCAATATTTGATGGCAGTTTTTGGCCAATATTATCACACTGAATGCCAAACGATAGCATTTCTCTATTAATTATGCATCTGAATTTAGCTTTTTCCCTCTCTCTCTCTCTCTCTGCCTCCCTCTCCGTCCCTCCCTCTCTCTCTCTCTCTTTAATAAAACATATTTCGACGATATCTATTAAAATGCTTTATGCGAACAACTGTGAATGTTATATCTCTAAGAAATCTCAGAGATTAGATGGATATTTTGATATCATTTTTAATTTATTTGTTTATTGATATTATATTGTTGCAATATGTAAATAAAAATTTATGTAATTTTTACAAATTACCATTACAAATCTTTTAATCATATAACATTTTCAAATATATTTAATTTTAATTAAAATATTTAAGGTATTAATTAATGATTAGTTAATTATACAAAATTACTATTACAAATCTTTTAATCATATAACATTTTCAAATATATTTAATTTTTATTAAAATATTTAAGGTATTAATTAATGATTAGTTAATTATACAAAATTACTATTACAAATCTTTTAATCATATAACATTTTCAAATATATTTAATTTTAATTAAATATATTTAAGGTATTAATTAATGATTAGTTAATTATACAAAATTACTATTACAAATCTTTTAATCATATAACATTTTCAAATATATTTAATTTTAATTAAATATATTTAAGGTATTAATTAAACATTTATTGTATAAAGAAAAATGGAATGTTTATTTAAGCTAAAAAAAGAAATATTTTAACTATTCATGCATTATGAAGTATTTAAACAAGTCAAACTATAGCTAGAACAATGTTATTTATTTTCTGAAAAAAAAAATGTGTGAGAAAAAAAATACATATATATTATGATGAATGAATAAAAAAAAATTTTAAAAGATGTAAACAATTAGAATAAATAGTAAATAAAATTAGCAGCATATCACAGATTAATACCTTCATTGCATTAGTCGTATCTGCTACTGCTACTAATTCTGTTAAATTTCGTATTGCCATAACAGATGGTAGAATAATTCCTTCATCCAACGTAGAATTATTTGATGAAGTAGTATTTTTCATTAAATTTAATTCCATCATTATTGAAAAATTTATTTTCAATCGTTCATTTTCATTTGTTGCATTTATTCATTTTGTAAACAATAAAAACAATTATAAATATGTATATGCCATTAAATAATGAGGTAAACAAATAAAATAAATTCGTTGTTGAATTTTTCTTTTTTTCTTATTTTTTTTTTTTTTACTTTCCTGTAAATAATAATTTTAAATTTAAATTTTACATTTTAAACATCACAATGAGTTATATAGTTTGTTCAAAAACATTTTTTAAAAAAAAAAAAAAAAAAAAAAGAAAGAAAGAAAAGCATATATGATTATGCTTTAAGAGAACACTTAATGAGTGTTTTGATCAAAAAAATTAAAAAAAAAAAAAACTTCTTTTAGTGAAATGAAAAAAAGTTTATTTCAAAGAGAGTAAAAGAGGAGAGAGAGAGAGAGGGAGAGAGGGAAGGAGAGAAAAAAAGAAAAGAATACATAAATAAATCATATCTCTAAAGCTTTACTTTATTTAGTCGTAAAGTTTAAAATAAATGAAAATATGTTGATAAATCTGCTTCATTTTGTGAAATTTTATTTCAATTAAAATAGAATATTTAAAAAAAAAATAAAATTAAATTAAACTGATATTTTTTTTAAAAAAAAAAAAAATTAGACCTTGAAAATAATAAAATTAAAATTTATGAAATTTGAACTAATAACAAATACATGTAATTATGCAAGAAAACACTTAATCAATATTTTGATCAAAAAAAAAAAAAAAATTAAAAAGCATTTTTTAATCAATGAAAAAAAAGTTTATTTAAAAAAAAAAAAGAGAAAAAAAAAATAGTAAAAAAAAGAAGATAAATAAAATATGCAAAAGTTCAGCAATGTTAGTTCTCATCAAAATTACACAATTAAAATTTCATCTTCGAAAGTTTGAATTTTTTTTTTTTAAAAACCTTTAAATCTAACAACTAACAAACAAAACTTCATAATTAGCATTATTGAAATGTACTCATGCATGATCAATTCACATAAACAGATAATAATTTATATCTGTGTTATTCTTTTCAAATAAAATATCAAAAATTAAATTAAAATTTTTTTTTTTTTTGTAAAATTTCTTTTTAAATTTTAATAAAAACTAACAAAAAAAAATAACATTTGAAAATTTATTCGTTCTACAACATATCAAAATAAGAAAAATAATGCAAATAAATAGCCAAGTTAATTAAGTCGATAACTTTTTGTTGATATATGTTGCTGAGACATTATGAATTGTTAATTTGATTTTCGACAAATATTGGAACACAAAGGTAATTACTTTATTCTCTTTCTTCTCCTTCTTCTAAATATTACTGCTAGTTTAAGTAATAATAATTCATTCATTATTCAATAAGTTGAATTTGTTTTTTTTTTTTTTTGTGTTTTTTGTTTTTTTGTTTTTTCTTTTGTTTTGTTTTTTTGTTTTGTAAAAAATATGAAATTAAAATTAAATCTGAAAGTATATTAAAAATATGAAAATGTTACAAAAATTTTGACTGAAAAATAAATAAATAAATGAAAAAGAGAGAGAGAGAGAGAGAGAAAGAGAGAGAGAAAGAGAGAAGGAGTAATTTATTTTCACAATAATTAAATTTTCATTCTCAAATTTATTTCTTATTTATTCTATCACACAATGGTAATCTCAATTTCTTGTTGAATAAGAATTAGGAGCATAAATTAAAAGCAAACAATTTTTAGCACAAAATAATAAGTTGTAAAATAACAAAATGAAAAAATTTTTATTTGTCTTATAATATTCATTTTTACAATTTTAAACTTTTTTTATTTTTATAATAAAAATTAAAAAAATTTTAATAATAGTTTTTGTTTTTTTATCACAGAAGTTTTTCGGATTTCAGCTAATTTTATCATTGTTAATTGATAATGTAAAATAAAAGTTCAAAATGATAGAATTTTTTGTTATATTAAATTATTTCACAAATATTTAAATTTAAAATATACAGCGCATTTATAAGATTAGAAAGTAATACAATTTTTCATTTGTTTTTTTTTTTTTGACTTTAAAAATGAAATTATTTCGTTTTTAAAAATGAAATTATTTCGTTTTTTTTTTTTTTTTTTATTTTATTTTCAATTTTTTTTTTCTTTTGTGATATTTATTCTGAAATTATCAAAGTTAGCAATCAAAAATCGATGTGATAAACTGGAGAGAAACAAACATTTGAATAGAAAAAGTTAATAAGTGGTTTTGCAATTTAATGGGACATTTGATTGCTTATTTTGATGACAAATTTAGATGGGTGAAATGATATCGGATGTTTTATTCATCAAAAGTTAAATTATCATTGAATATGATGAGTTCAGCTATGTAAATAATTCTTCTTTGCAAAAGGTTAAAAGGTCAAACCATATTAATTAATTCATTTTATCATTTAAAAATTAACCACTGTAAAAATTGTAAAATTTGGTGATAAAGGAAAAAAAAAACAAAAACAAAAACGAAATAATTAAAATTTGATTAATTTTTGATTGAAATTGAAAATGATTAAAATTTGATGTGTTTTTAATAAAATAATAAATAAATTACGAAGGCATATATATTTTGTTTTGCTTTGTTTTGTTTTTAAATAAGAAAAAAATTTTTTGGAATGAAATTTAAGCACTTATCATTTTAGCATTTAGCAGTAAAATTTCTTATTGATTTACTTTTTCTTTTGTTGATTTAATTTGATCTTTATTCTAGCTTAAATAGTAGTAAAAGCTGAGAAACTACTCTTTTTTTTTTTTTTAAATTGATGATTTGTTTATGAGAATTTTGAAAAAAAATAAACAAAGTCTTTTATGCTAAGTAAAATTAAAGTCTTTAGCATATGGCATTAAAAAAAAAATTAAATTCAATTGTAATGAATGATACACTTTTTTAAACTTATATATAACTTACAATCTTATAATCTCACTTATACTTGTTTAAAATATTAACTTTATGTTATTTGTTTAACTTAGAAAAAAAGAAAGTTAATTTAAAAAAAAAAAAAAAAAAACCGGAAAAGAGAAAAATGGAAAAAAAAAATTGAATTGAAAATTAGAATAGAAAAATTGTTTACTAAATTTGATCAAGAAAACACAATTCTGATTCATTAATGTTTTTACAACAATCAACAAAAATGGGATAAATACATGCGAACTTTCGAGAATTAAATCTTCTTTTTTCAGTTGTTTAAATCGAGAATTAAATTTTCTTTTTTCAGTTGTTTAAATTAGCAATCAAAACTATATGACAAAAGCTTGTGAGTGAATAAAATTAGATTTTTAATGCTTTTGATTTGAAAAATGAAAAGACACTGAAGAAATTTTGAATGGAAAATTAAAATAAGAAAATTGTTTTGCTAAATTTCATCGAGAAATAATACCATATAGCTAAATAAACTTAGCTATTTCTATTTAAAAAAAAAAAAAGAAAAATACGTTAGCAAAGGAAAATGATTAGCTTAATGTTTAAAGTTTATCATTTAAAAAAAAAAAAAAAATTACTTTTAATGAGTGATAAAATGAAAGTTAGTATTTACTTAAGAAAAAATTATATGAGAAAAATAATATTTGAATTTAGGAATGAAATTTGACTTTATTTAAAATCAAAAAAAAAAAAAAAAAGAAAAAATAATGATGGGAATGTCTAAAGGAATATTAATAAGCATTAAATAAACTTTCATTTTCATTTTTTTTTTTTTTTTTTTAGTTTCTATTTCTTTTTGAATTTTGACTTTATTATTTTCATTTTGTAATGCTAAGAAGAATTGTGCTAATAGCTAATGAGATGTTATAAAAATGAGCAAAAATAATTGCAATTTTAATTTTTTTTTTGCAAAAAATTCGCTCTTTTTTCCATTCCAAAATTCTATAATAAAATGATAAAATAATTTTTAATTCAAATTATTTTATGAATAATTTGTAAAAATTACACATTTAATATAATTTATTGCTATTTATAAAATATAATCTATGGAAATTAATTTTTTCCATTCTTTTATTTTATTTTGAATTCAATGTTATTTGTAATTATTTGAAATTATAATCAAAATGGAATGCTTTTATTGTTTTTTATCATAAATTCAAATTTGCATTAAATTTTAATTTATGCTTATATTTATTTAAATTTTTCAAAATTTGACATACTATTATTGCTAACTTTAATGATATTAAATTTTATTAAATTTTTTCATATCATTGTAATAATTTTTATTTTCTAAAATATTTTGATTGTTTTATTCTATCAAAAAAAAATAAATAAATAAATATATGATCAATGAAATAAAATGCATTTTACAATTTTTGCAATAAATAGCTGATAAGAAAAAATTGATTGAATGATAACAACAAAATGATAATGAAGTGATAATGATTAAAATGATAATGATACATATATAAAATTAATGTTTGCCACAGAAATTGAGGCTGTAATAAGTTCAAATAAAATGATGAAAAAATTAAAACATTCATAAAGTTTAATCAATTTTAATTTAAAAAAAAAAATTAAAACATTCATAAAGTTTAATCAATAATCAATTTTAATTAATTCAACTGAAAAATTTAATTTCCTTTCACTTTTTTTCAACATTCACTTTTTGTAATTTAAAATTTTGAATTTAAAAAGTAAGAATTTAAAATATGCAATTGAAAATAAGTGTCATAGTGAGTTTTTATTTCTCAATTCAACAATTGAAATTTCAAAATTTTAAGTTTTTTTTTTTCACATTACTCTTTTAGACAAAGAAACAGCATTTCAATTTTTTAGTTTAAATTTTTAGTTTAATTATATAAATGTACATTTTCAAATATTTGATGTGTTTTTTTTTTAATTTATTAATTAATAAAGTTCACAAAATATCACAATGCAATATGATAAAATTTAATTTAATTGATTAAATAATTTATTTTATTCAATCGTTTGTTAACTTCCTATTTTATCAATTTAGGAGTTTAATTAACATTGAAATTGAAAACATCTGAAAATGTTTCAAATGTTTTGA